TAGAGTTGAGTAATTTTTTAATTAAAAACCTTAAATTTTAGTATTAGCTATGATGCTTATAATTTAAATTTTCAATATAAACCTTTTGTCACAAGAACTTTTTAGTCTTTAGGAGAAATAACGAAACCAGTTTCATCCATATTCCATATGTGTTCTACAGTAAGTAAATATTCCTCAATTATTTTTTGCAGCTTTTCAAAATAATCTTTTATAATTATCAGATTTGCTCTTTGAGCACGTGCTTCAAATAGGGCTTGGGGTATTCGAAAAGATAAGTCTAGGTGATCTTTCATAAAACGGTTCTACCAAGCCCTGTCAGGCCTTTTAGTTGTAAAAGGATGATCACGATGATTGCTATGTACTATCTCTATCACACAGTGGTTCACACCTGATCTTGTTAAACCAAACTCTAACTTCTGCATATTTTTACAGTAACCTACTAGCTGCTCTTCCTCATGTTTGCTTAAGACTGTTTTAGGGCCAGTACGTTTAGGCAACACATTTTTAACAGCATGTCTAAGGGTTACTTCCAAAATTTTAAACTTTAGGGCAGTTGAATTTACACTAGGATTCTTAGGACCTGTGAGTACTTTAAGAGCAGCTCCAATTGTGGCACAATGATCTTTTTGAGAAAGTCTTGTTAGTTTTTGATTTGGTTTTTTTTTTGATTTAGCCTTTGATTTTTTTATATATTTAGATTTGGTTTTTTTAATAGCTTCTATTGATTTTTTTTTTTTTTTAAGGATATTAACAAGCAAAAGGTTTAATTTTTAATGAAAATAATTATTTGATACGTTTAATTTATTTGATTTTATATCATTTTGAAATGTATTTTTTTTTTGCAAAAACTGTATTTTTTATTGGATATTAAAAAGACAAAAGTATTTAATATATTGAATTTAGCTTTTACAAGACATTTGACAATTACTGTCTTTGTTTTTAATTGCAATAAATTCATTATTAAAATGATATAATAAAAGAACCTGTAAATAATTTTGCAAAGTAATATTTTCGAATTAGATCATTAATTTTTTTAATGTTGATTGATTTAAACGTGCATATGAAAATAAGTTATAAATTCAAAAAAGGAAATTTATACAATTGCACTTTTTGTTTTGATTCCCTTTTTGAAAGCAATTATCTTAATAATGACAAGGGCTATCATTGATTTTACATAAATATTCTAAATTTGGTACGTTTAACTTTAAAGTATATATGTATATACATATATCATGATCTTTTGAATAGTTACTAACCATTTTGGTAAAATTTCTTTTGTATGCACAAAAGCATTTCGCTATCTAGTTCTATAAGATTTCAGAAGTTTTTTATTAAGCAATAAAAAATTTCTGAGAACGTATAAGTCTAATATAACTTACTAATCACAAATATAATCAGAATAATTGTAAGCGATTATTTTTATAAAGATAATTGATTTTTTATTAATTATGATGGTTCTTTAAAGTGTCCATCTTGACAAATCATGCATTCACTATTAATTGATAGTACATACAATAGCATAATCGATTTTATTAAGGCTAGTATCTTTATAAATATCCAAATTTACTGATTATTAAATGATTAATCATCTTTAATCAACATTCACTCAAAGTATTTTTTTATCGTATTTAATATATTTAATTAAAAATACCACCTAGACATTATATCTCAAAAAAAAAACTATCTAAATAAGTCAATATTCAATTTATACGATGACCCAAACAACAACCCAATGTTCAATATAGGCAACAACTCAACATTCAAGATAGGCAACAAAACATAGAAAAAGAGAAGGTGGCATCAAATGGAGTGCCAGAAATAGCTAAAATTAAATTTATTGACAAGGAAAAAACAGCATTTGAAAAAGGTCTAGTAGCACTTTTTAAACGAGACCAAACACAAAAGGCACCCAATATTATAGAATCAGAGGTGACAGAACCAGAGGCGATTAAGATTACAGATTATTAGGAAAATCAAATAAGCTCAAACTTAACATTATTGTAAAGAATACCTGTTTTGCGGAATAATATTACCCCTTAGCATAATACACTTGCTTCCTTCTTTAGTAATCTTGATGTAAAAGATCCAGTTATAATATATAGTACCTGCCTTAGTATAGTACTCTTCTTAGCATTATAAATAAGCATAGTATGATAATCCAGGGTTATTATTCCGCAAAATACGGTAGATATTGCAGATTCTCTTATCATAGGTGACACTTCTATATACTGTATATAAAAATGTATGCTTATGAATATAAATTAGAATTTGTAATTATAATTTATATTATTAATCATATAATTTAACACAAAAAAAAAAAATCAATTAAATTTTAGGAATCGGGTAAATTTTAATCACTTCACACAATTGTGAGTGTGATTGTATATAATTTCAACCTTTACCTGTAATTTTTCACACACTATCTAACCAAGTTGTTAAATATTAAAAACTATTCCATCAATACTTCATTGTTTTAAGCTGAAATTCTTTGATTAATCAATTTCTTGTTTCCGCTTGTTCATCCGTGAGCTATTCTTAGAGGATCACATAAATGACACTGAGTAGAAGTGCTAAATCAGTTAGTATAGACTTCAGATGTGTTGTTTTTTTATAACTAGATAAATCAGAAACTACTATAACTTAATTTACATGTAGTCTTTAATATTTAGATTTTGTTAGCTTTCTATGCTCTTGATGAAAAAACCTCTTGAAATAAGAATCGCTAAGGACTTTCTGGTATTTAGTGTATTACGATTAGTTTCAGCTTTAAAATTCAAGATTTACTTTTAAGTAAAACTTTAAACCTTTAATTTCATAAATTTAGCGTAAAAGAAAATGAAAAAGATGAATAAAATTCACGTACGTAAGTTATGTACTGTACTTATTGGGTTAATCAATGATTATCGCTATCATAATGTAGCGGTATATCAATTTCTGTTAAGAATTATTTTTTTTCAAGAAATCAGGTTTTTTCCAAAGTAAACCTAGCTTCACTTACTAAGTAAAGTTGTTCGGAATGCCATCTTTGACTTACCCTTAAACTTTGGCACGAAACGAAAATCTTTTTATTAATAGAGTTTTTCGTTATACGTTTTGGCGCAGAAATCAATTTACTGCGCCGAAATGCATAACGAAGAAAACCTATTAATAAAAGGATATTCGTTTCGGGCCAAAATTTGAGGGTAGGTAAAAGATGGTATGTTGAACAACTTTACTTAGTAGGCAAAGTTAGGTTTACTTGAAAAAAAACCCTGTTTCCTTGTAATAAGTTCAATTCGTCAAAATACCCACATTCGTCATAATACCCACATCTACTTTATATAAAAAAAAAAAAATTAGAGGTCACCTGGGGGGAGGAGGGGTAGCCTTATATAAAATAGAAAACACATGTTTTCTGGCCCTCCCCTAATTATTACTTACGCGTAATGTCTATTGATACAGTACAATACACTTTAAAATAAAAGAAGGATATTCATTTATAATTGGTGGAACGTTTCCTTCTGTTGGCCGCAAGAAGGTTTCTTTATTTACAGATACCTACGATGAATATCTATGCATTAGTGTTAGTGGCAAACAAATAAGAATTTGGTGATTGCTGTCACAATAATAAATACTTACCGGTATTTAACACTCATGTTATATTATAGTTTGTATTGCTGTATTTAAAAAATAATATTATTCAAAATATATAATTATATGCTTGTTTATATACAAATATTTTTTTGTTTTATAAATTCAAACAAATCTTTAATATAAAAAAAAATATATATATAGAATTTTTTATAACTAAATTACAATAAAAAAAATGTATATACTGTACTATATATATATCTTTTAAGAAAAAAAAATTTTTTTTTTTTTTGACAATTACATAAAAATCATACAAGTCATGGTTATTCCTACAACTATTAAACTTATAGAAACACCAAATAGACCATTGTTTTTTATATTATTAGAACCACTTATTCCTAATGGATCAGTTGAATCATCTGCTATAGCGCCTGTAACTAATTGATATAAAACAACGGTGCTCGGTGGGACATAAGTAGTATATGAAGCAAATTCACCGTCAGGTTGCTGTGTGGTAACAACAGTTGTATAACCTGGAAATACTTGAGTAATTGTTGATGTAAATGTTCTTAGGGTGAATTTTGTTATAGTTTTTTGATTTTCATTTTGAGGAGTTTGAGTAACAATCGAAGTATCTGGTGGAATAGTTGAAGAGAAAATTTGTCCTGTAGCACTATTATTATAAAACAAGCAATTATTGATGAATGGTAAATAATGTTAAAACTTTCTAAATAATAATACTACTCATGGGCAACGAAAAATTAGTTTAAAAAAAAATAAAAATACACACGCTTTGCCCGGTGGATCGGGTGTACAATTAATAGATTCCTTACAAACATTTTGAATTGTTGTCGTTCGAGCTACAACTAATTTATTTGCTGAAAATTGAATAATTAGAATTGGATTAATTGTATAATGACGACAATGAACATAATTCGGAAAACGAGAGATATAAACGGGTAGGGCTGGGGTACTCGCCAATCGGTTATGATGCAATTTAATATGTATACAGTATACTATTTATCTAATATTTATCTAATATCAACTAGAATATTAACCAGAAAAGACTACTTCACCCCAGCAATTGCGACGAGCTTTTAATACATAGTAAAATCAAAGGTTGAAAGATTACCTTCTGTAGCTCTAGTATGTGTTGGTGTTACATTACCAGTATTTCCATCCTGTGTTGGTGTATTTGAAATTGCGTCTTGTGTTGGCGCATTTGGAGCCGCGTTTTGAGTTGGCGTATTTGGAGTCGCGTTTTGAGTTGGCATATTTGGAGCCGCATTTTGAGTTGGCGAATTTGGAGCCGCGTTTTGAGTTGGCGTGTTTGGAGCCGCATTTTGAGTTGGCGTGTTTGGAGCCGCATTTTGAGGTGGTGCATTTGAAGCCGCGTTTTGTGTTGGTGCATTTGAAGCCGCGTTTTGTGTTGGTGCATTTGAAGCCGCGTTTTGTGTTGGTGTATTTGGAGCTGCGTTTTGTGTTGGTATATTTGGAACAGATGCGTCTTGTGTTGGTGTATTTGGAACAGATGCTGGTGTATTTGATGCCGCATTTTGAATTGGCGTATTTGGAACAGATGCATCTTGTGTTGGTGTATTTGGAAACGCGTTTTGTGTCGGTGCATTTGGAACAGATACATCTTGTGTTGGTGTGTTCAGAGCCGGTGCATTTTGTGTTGGTGCATTTTGGGCGGGTGTATTTGGAGGCGTGTTTTGGGTAGGTGCATTTTGGACGGGTGTATTTTGAGGTGCATTTTGGACGGGTGTATTTTGAGGTGTATTTTGGACGGATGTATCTTGAGGTGTATTCTGGACGGATGTATCTTGAGGTGCATTTTGAGGTACATTTTGAACAGGTGTATTTTGAACAGGTGTATTTTGAGGTGCATTTTGGACAGGTATATTTTGTACGGGTGTATTTTGAGGTGCATTTTGGACAGGTGTCTCTTGAGGTGTATTTTGAACAGGTGTATCTTGAGGTGTATTTTGAACAGGTGTATCTTGAGGTGTATTTTGGACAGGTGTATTTTGAGGTGCTCTTTGGACAGGTGTATTTTGAGGTGCTCTTTGGACAGGTGTATTTTGGACAGGCGTATTTTGATTTTTTGGAGCAGCCGGTGTATCTTGAGCCGGAGAGCTTTTGGGAGCAGACGCTGGTGTATTGATCGGCTGACTTGGTGATTTTGCAGTATTTTGTCGTTTCCTCAAATCAATTCTTCTGTCATAATTTGAAAAACCGGTACTAGTATATACCATTAAAACAACCAAGATCAAAACAACTAATATAATATTATTAAAATTTATATGAATTTTTGCCATCTTCGTACTATTAAATGTAAGATAATGACACGTAAAATATCTTTCTAAAGAAAATTTTCCAATAAAATCGATCGACTAGAGTATTATTTAGAAAAAAGTTAAACATCTCAACATATATATATATATATGCCAAGAGAATCGGTAAATACTTCAATGAGTTGGTATATATATGCGGCTTTTAATGCATGGCCTGAAAAATGACTTCGCTTATTATATTACAGTAGTAATCATTTCAATTCAAAATCTAAATATCTTCAAACCACTTCAGGTTATATTACCAAAAGGAGAATAGCCGTATATTATTGTCTTAAGGTTTTAGAAAATTTATAATGAAATAAATAATGATTAATAAATAATATAGATATAATTAGATATATATTGTCTATAATACCTATAGAACTGTAACAAATTACTACGTGAAACTTAACGGGATGTACAATTTATGCAAGTATTGTGTTCATCAGCGGGATAGGGCGATGTTTGCATATTTTTGTACCTTCCAACTTTAGCTTGTAGGAAAATTATATGAAAACTTTTAGCTTAAGAATTTTGAAGTAATGATTATGTAATCTTTATTAGAACGAGATTGCTTATATGCTATGAATAGTTAGCTTTATCGCCGTCCAATAAACTGCTTTCGTAAATTTTAGAAAACTTAATATGCATGATTTTTGAATACGCTCTTTTAAATCTATATTGTGGTATTTTTGTTTTTAAGCACTGGGTTATGTGTATGTATAATGCGCAGTGCCCGAGGGCACTCCCTATTATTTACTTGCGAAAAAAAAAGGAAAAAAAATAATGAAGTTTCATCTATATATAATAAATAAATATATAAATATATATATGATATCAGATATATATACAGTATAAATATATATATAATCGTTATATAATACGTATTACGTATTAATAAAAAAAGCTGAAGTTTATGATCTGCAAAGTTGTAACGATAAATAGTTTGTACATAACCATAATAACGGCTGTTCACTGAACTGTGGCTATGGTAACATATTTATATTACAATACAAACTTCGGAATTTTATCCGAATTCAACGAAAATACTAAAATTAATAATAATTTCATATAAGAATAAAACTATAAATAACAACTGATGTCTAAAGAAAATTGATATCAGATTAAGATCGATTTTCTTTTGCGCATTTGTGGCTTTAGATATTATACCGATATTTTTAGATTTCTAGAAAAAATCTGGTACATTTCTGGTACTTCGGTTAGATGCATAGTTTTATAATTTACATTCTCTTAAACAACTATCTCTATATACCTAAGCAATATAACTTTGTTTCTTGAGGCATTTATGCATTCCTTTAATATGTCTTTTCATTTCACGGGGATATATCATTGTCATGTAGTTCGTTCATTCACCCTCAGGTGCTTTGTTAAGGTTCTACAAAGGTTTATTATAAAACACGGGGCTATAAAGTGCAATCTGAAACAAATCTGCGGATTTCCATATGTTGGTGACTTCTGTGAATATTTTTTTAGGCAACTTTCGTACTTATGTATGTACGTACGTACGTACGTAAGTACAGTACGTATACGATCGGTGCTGTATCAGAAATTTACCAGATTAAGGATTGTGTAATTCTGTTAAAGTTCTGTTCAAATTCTGTTAGAATTATGTTGGTTCGGTTCTTAAAGTTCGGACTCTCCTAGCATAATCTACTGCGTAAGATCAAAAATCGATGCATTATAATTCACAATTATTACAGTATTAAGAGACAATGAAGCGATATATCTATTAAAAAATTTGACATTCGACGTGTATGTCCATGGTGCATCATATTCGAGAACGTTTAACTTATGCATCAAATTGAAATGCACATCATGGATATACTTAACAAAAAACAATAAATGCTATAGTGTTTGAATTCTTTACAATAACATACTTCAACTAAACAATTATAGGTTCTATTTAGTTGCACACCGAAGGTCTAGCATCAAGCAAAAATTTTCCTATCTTATAAATATTGCATCAGTATACTCCTAATTTTCTGCCGTTTTCATTCGCCGCTACTGGCCTACTGCGTATTATGCAAAAGAACTATTAAGAATATGTCACAAAGTAAATACTGAGAATTTGAGTAACCACATAACTGTATAAAAACCAAACAGCATCAGGATGTAGGATGAATTGTCGCGGATTGAAAGTATGGGCCCATGCTATGGTGTGGCGCATTCTACTTTAATCAAGCTCGAGCCCATGTTATAGTGCATGTACATGTGATAATCGACCGATGATGATTCAATTATGATCAAGTGTAATATAACACGAATAACAAAAAAATTTGGTTTACAGTATACATAATACAATGTTATACAGTAGCTTACTGTATGTAAAAACAATAACTACATCTTTAGTAATTTATTTATAAAAATTAAAATTTGTATGAGAAGTAAAAATTTTTGAAAAAGAATAAGTCTAGTGGTAATTATACTAGAGAGCTTATACTGTATTTTAAAAATATCTAAGTAAACAGTATTAGGTACTCTAAGTAAAAATGTTTAGAACCTTAAAAATTTTTAAAAACTAAAATCAAAACCTTATACTAGTTTATATTAGAGCTTGTATTATATTAGAATTATCCAAATAATTTAGTTAATATCTATTAATACAATATATTTTATATACAGTCAGACCTCCCTAAATGCATATTCTCTAAATACATAGTCTCTCTAAATGCATGGCTTTGTTTGGTCCCAACTTATATGGCACTTATAGATTTTTGCCTCCCTAAATGAAATACCTCTCTAAATACAATATTTTTTAGCCACCCGAGGCTATGCATTTAGAGAAATCTGACTGTACTGTATATAGAAACCTTTGCACAATTAACTTTTATTATCTTTTATATTATTATAAATCTAGATTTTTTTTAATTGTTTTTATATAAGCTACTACAGTTGTTCCTTGTTAATATTAACCTCTGTTAATATTAATCTCTTGTTAATATTAACCTTTTATTAAGAACAAATATGCTTAAGAAATATAAAAACTATTCTTTTGTTATCAACCCTCGCATATATTAATATAATTGTCTAATTTAAATGGGTTGATATAAATAAGAGATGACTATATAACAACAATAATATTATTAACCAAGTCTATAAAAACTTCTTTCAATCTAATAAAATTTCTATAATATATTAGCAATACAATTTCAATACTTCTACTCTATACTACTATCACTTACCCTAATTTCTTGCACTCTTGCCAGGGTTGTACCCTTAACTCCTACTATATAACTAGTTGTTGCACTCTAGAAGTATCAATTATTCTTTTTACCTACCTTTTTAGAAGAAAGAAAGCTAACAAACAACTAAACTTAATGCTAACTATATTGACCTTATTTGTTCTACAGATATCAAATATTCTTCATACATACCACCCCTCCAACTATTAATATTATTATTATTATTTTTTTTTAGCATTAAGGTAAGGCCTTGCTTATATCTTTATTAGATAATTTGTACAAGTAATTACATAAATATATATAACAACTAAATTTGTATAGAAACAAAATAATACAAATTATATACAAAAAAAAGAGCTCAGACTAAAAACTCAGAGAGTTAGTTATCTGTGAACTAAACCTACTAGAGTGGTCAAGACTAATCTAAATTTTAATGGTTAGTATATAATTTGTATATATGCTATACTGGGCCTACACTGTGGCCCATCGGTCAAATTTTAGCTGTGCTTGTTCTTTGAACAGTCAAGTATTGTTGTCTTCATGTACTTGGTCAGCCATGCTCATATCAGCAGATTTATGGAATCACAAAAAATTTTGTTTGTCAAATATGTGAGTCATGCTAATTGATATATGATGATAGTAATAGTAATTAGCTTTAATATTAGTATTTAATAATAAATTACAATAACAAGAGTTAGTACTTGATATCTTTTTTACAATACATA